CACCACCACCTTATCAGTATTCAGATAATAAGAAGGAGGCCCTAATAACCTTGGAATGCAAATCTTTTCTCTAAGGTCAAAAGAGTTTTCAATTCCTATTTTACTACAGCGTTGTGGCCAGGATTGCTAGCTTTCTTTCCTTCTCTTCTCTTCTCTTCTCTTCTCTTCTCTTTCCCTCCTACTTACACTTACAGACATGTTGGGCCTCTGACATCAAACAAAGGAGCAAGAAGACCAGAAGCAAAAAGACCCCAGCGAACCAAAACGACACCTTAATACATTCAGACTCTTGAAAAAATAAATCCAGTTTTTAGAAGCGTGCTTGTCCTTCGCTCTGTACTTTGTGCCCAGAGGGAGGGGAAAAAAAAAAAAAGATTCCTGAGAAATTTAAAATCGATTTTTCGTTATCTTAAACTGGCAAGCAAGCCACACAGAAGAAGCTTTAACTCTCCAAAGGTTCCTTGGACAATGTTGGCAAGAGGGTTCCCAGTGAATATTCCAATGCAAAGTGGGGGAAAAAAATCCCAAATAAAGTAAGCGGTTCCTATATTTCGACCACCGTGAATGTAGTTCCTCAGAAGTTCGGCCAGTTGCAATTTGCAATTCCCTATTATTATTTCCCCAGCAATTTTGGTGAGGTTTTCCAAATCTCTGGGTCAGCAAAACGCGCCCAGAAAAGTTATCTGAGTAAGTCCAACTGTTTCCAGGCTGAATGGATTGAGGGAGGGCGGAGAAGAATCCAACAAGTTGGAACAGAGATCCTCGATGCGAGCAGAAAGTGGAAAAGCAGCCCAGAGACATTTACAGGGTTTCTTTCCAAAGCTGTTTTTAAAAAAAATGAAATAGGGAGAACAGCAACAGATTTTGCAATGTCATGAAATCCAAAAAAAAAAGAAGAAAGAAAAAAAGAAAAAAAGAAAAAAAGAGAAAGAAATCTGGTTTCCTCTTGGCAATGAGCAGGCCCAGATTATGAACCCACATCTGCCAAGAAACTTTTCCTCTTAAATTCAGAATAAAAGACAGCCAATCCAGAAGTTCCTTTAGAAATATCCAGCAGGCAGGGTGGGTTTTTTTTCCCTGAGAACAAGCAATATTTACCAGAGATATCTTTACGTTTTGCAAGTTTTCTCCACTCCTCCAACTTCGTTAAATATTGAGGTTTGATTCCAACTTTCTCCCAACTCCAAAATGCCCCCGCGTAAATCCAGTCAATGTTCAAGAAAATTCCAGATCGCCAACGAGTCTCTGATACGTGTATCAAACAAGCATTGGCAAAATTAACTCCAGCAACTGTGAAGCGCTTCCAAATAAACTGAATTCTTCCAGAAAAGCAAGCTCGTTTTTTCCTTCAAGGCTAAAGGGCCGAGGTTAAGTTTCAGACAATTTTAATTTCAAGCAACGTTGCCTGCTCCCGAAATGCCCCCCAAATCCTCTGCCAGCGTTGGAGGTTGCCACATGATCGTGTTTTCACTCTTCCCAACCCCAAATCAAGCAGAGGCAGGAATGCGGGAGGCAACAGTGGCACATTGCGAAAATCCAAATAGGCATATATGTTGGCCAAATATTTATTTCAGATCTCAGGCAGCGGCAGGGCTGACTTCCTAGCAAATGTCCCCAGACTCCCAAAGGTTGCGGAAGAGACCGTTGCCAGGCCAAACTCAGCAGCAGCATCAGGCTCCGGCCAAATGTCCCCTCCGTCACCTGCTGAAAACAAAGTACAAAGAGTTATTGTAAAGACGGGTTCCAGGCTTAACTTAAAGCAAGTGGCTTTCCCGAAATCGAAATCGAGCAGGCTGCTCCGTTCCCCTGCTTCCAAGAGGAGATTTTGTGCCTTCGGGAGGAAGGTTAAAAAGTCTCCCCGCAAAGGGCACCTTAGGGGCGACTTCCCAAAGTGGGCGCTGCGCGCAGAGCAGAGCAGAGCGCGCGGCGGGGCTGGCCGGCTCTGCAGGGCGGGCGTTCGGAGCCCGGGAGACACGCC